AAGGGGTATGTGCTCTGGTAATATATGCTTTATAACAACAGAATGGAGAAGGAAATTCAGCATAATTAATTGTTCCGTTCACTCATGGATTGAAAGGAAAATTAACCATTTTGGTATAAAACAAAGCTAACGCCTTCTTTTCACCAGGGGTTCTATAAGCCTTAAATATTCAACAGCTTTAAGCATAATGTGCCTTTTTCTTGTTAGATTCATCTTCCTTACAAACCTATGAGCAGTTTGGATGCTTGTGCCAGCTCTCCAAACCGACAACTCTTGCTCAGCTGAAAGGACTCGGGGGATTCAGATGAAAAATTTATTTTAACTTCTGATCTCCATCATTAGTCATTACCAAAACTGGAAATATAGTCTAGAATTTAATACACATAAGAGGAACGAGAGAACCTTGGTATATGCCCTGGCTTGAGAGAAATGGGCTCTGCCTTTCAGTGACATGAACCAATTTTTCTAATGACTGTAATTTTGTTACTGCTCTGCTTGAGAAAATTGCACCACTCTGACTTGATATTTAAAACTGTAGCTAGGCCAAAAAAGATGAGATTAAGAGTTTTGTGGAATTAATACTTTTGAAATTACATCTCTAGTACTGTAGTAAGGAATTCCTAGATGCTGGAATTATCTGGAAGACCATCTCTGACACTGTAGTCTTTGTTCACTATCTTATTATTGTTCTTTCTGAGCCTCGAGATCTCTTGGAGTTTTTGTTTTAGGTTTGGTTTTGGGTTGTTTTTGGTTTTTTTCTTAACTGAGGTACCAGTTATTAAATAAGTGCAACATATCTGGAAGAAGGTAGACAAATGTAGTATCAACACAAATAACATGTATAAAATATTTATTGTAAACAAAAGAATTTTGTGCAAATGTTAAGAACAAAGGCTTCTGTTTTTTTAAAAATGCCACGATTTTGTAAGATGTAAAACTCACCAAATCCACTCAGTAACAGTCAGTCCACAAATAGTCCACTCAAGCCAGACACATAATTGGCTTTGATTTTTCCTGTAGAGTGGAACTTCAGTCTCTGAGGTTTAATGTTGGCTCTTAAGATCTATTTTTTAATACCTCTGATGTAGGAAGGTAAAGAATGACCCAACAAAATGGAAAGAGAGCTGCAGCAGCATCAGGCCCACCTCTGTCAACTCCTCAGGCCCCCAGGGTGTGATCTCCAGCCAGCAGTGGGGCCCCTACCAGCCATGGGAACAGCTCTCTCTTCTCTCCCCAGGCTGTAAAAACTAGGCACGGGCTGTTCCTCCAGGCGGTGGAATTCCTTAAGGTGGAAGTGAGTTGCCAGCTTGTTCACCATCCTTTTCAGAGTGACAAAGGCTGTGATGACTTGGAAGGCAAGGAAGAAGGCAAAGACAATGTGCACTGCTCGCTCCAGAGGCTGGATTTTCAGACCTTCATTAAACAGCAAGAAGAGAATTATGGGCAACTGCAGGAGGAGACTCAGGAGCCAAAACCCAGCCAGCTCAGGGACCTATAATAGGGAGACATCACCTATTAAAAACCTGGCAGCCAGAGATGAAAAATCCAAAATCTTGTGAAGAAAAAAACGTTGGGTTTTTTTAAATTTTTTAAAGGACAGAACATAATGTGAAAAATCAGAGTGAGGTGGCTTCATGTTTTCATATACCATGTTTTTAAGCATACTTATATTTTCTGACAAAACAGTTTTAGAGAGTGAGAGGGCTCTCTTCTGAGGGAAAACTTCCTGGAATGCACAAAATTAAGCGGAAGCCGATGCCAAGGGAATAGAAGATGCAGACTGCAACTTAAGAGAAATAAACATCTCCTCAACTTAAATCTTTTCAACAAAATGTCTACCAGTTAAACTCCAAAAAGCATTCCTGCAGAAATTAATATGTACATTTGGCAACATACTTTCTCCTGGAGATTGCCCATGTATCCCAGGTAGAGTCGAATGACCTCTATCAGAGAGGCCAGGATCATCATGGTGACCAGGATGAACTTGTAGTAATCTGACAAGTCTGGATACTAGAGGGAAAGAAGAGAGTAAAAGTTTCTGCTGTGGTGTTTGTGATTTAATGGAGTTACTGTGTGCTACTGTAAGCTGACAATGTTATAATGGCACTCAAACACTCTTGAACCTCCAGTTGCAGGGAATTCCCAAATAAATGTAATAAGCTCTAACTCCAGTGAGCTGTATCTCCTATTAGGTGTTTCATGTAATATACAGTTGCAAACCAACACTTTCCTTCGCACTCACCTTCAGATAGAGTATGACAACTGTGCAGAGCCACCAAAAAGGGAAAAAATAAACGTTGAAATAGAGGGACATCTGCAGTGGCAAACTGGAAACGATTTCGTTATCTGTAGAGAGAAGACTTTGTCATTCCTGGTTTGTTCCATACTTCCCTTCCATAAACATGACAGAAGGATACTGCTCCATCTTAGCTTCATGCATTAACAGTCCAGTCAAATTAAATGTTAGGAAAAATATTTTTAATTATCCAGAGGAAATATTCTTACCCTATCTGGAGTGACACCATTTCCTGGAATCTAATGCACCTTTTGGTTCACGGGACACCAAATTTTTATGACCTAGTCATATATTCCAGTTGAGTGTCCAACTGTTGATTACCTGGTAGCTTAAGGATTACTCCATGACCTCTGAGGCTTAGCTCAAGTGGTGCTGTATACTGACACTGCAGAAAGAGTCAGTGGTTATTTCACTGCAGGTCCCAAGAGAATGGCTGTAAGTTTAAATGAGCACACACTGGATTATCAGTATTTTGTAGATCACCCCCCTGAGTAAGGACTTAGTAGTAGACAGCAGGTTTTCATTGCCCATTATTCATCTGCAATCTTTTATTTAAATAGACATTTGGATGGAAGCCAGTAATCTGCCTAGTTCTTAAGAGCTAAAAATTTCAAATATGTGTCAAACTAAAACTTATGCTTTAAAATCTGTAAAGAAAAAAATGCATTCGGACAATGCAATGTACAGAAAAGCAAATATGAAACGTTACGATGCAGACAGTAAATTCCATATTTACAATTCTGTAATAGACCTACAAGATGAGACTTAAGAAAAAAAAAATTAAAAGGGCATTCTAAGGGAATCATTAATTTTTAATGGGTGGAGTTTTACAGCTGTATTCTAGTAAACTGATATTGCATCTACTTTGCTTCCCAAATGAACTCTGTAGCCACATATTCACTTGGTACTACCTGAGCAAGTTTAGAAAGTATTGACTGTGATCTGCTGATTTGTATTCAACTCCTGTGCCCGTCTGTCACAGTGGTGATGTTTGATTGAAATTTTGTCCAAACAGCCACATTGCCTCTCTTCCAGCCTCAGAACTACCTCTCTTCTGACACTGCCTTCCCTTTTCAGATCTTCCAACCACTCTAATACCCGTCTTTGTTCCACCCCAGTCTGGCATTTCTGTCCATCCTGGTACAGAGTCTTTATGCCAGACAAAGTGGGAAGAGGGGAGGATTTGGGAGTAGAACTGGGGCAGACCTCATGGGTGTGAGAGGCAGTGATCTGCTATTCTAAATAGAAGGTGCAAGACAACCAATACATATATATATATACACATATTTAATAATCCCATTTTTAAGCATCAACACATTCTTGCATCTGCAAAGGAATTAAAATCTACATGTACCTCAAAAACAGTTTCACCATCTACCTAAAATTGTCCCAGCTGTCCTAACACAGGAATCTCTTGGACACGAAGATTACTTCAGTGGTCACCAAGATATTCTAAAACACTGTTTTATCTTTCAAAAAAAGCATGACCATAATTGCAACTAGCTATTCTTCTGCCCTATATGTATTAGATAAAATTGTATTGGTTCATGGCCACATTAGTTAAAAACAGAGACGCCAAGAACTCTAATTTCAATTGTCACGATAATATTTAGGTATGTTAAAGGTTTCATTGACACTGTATTGCTATTTGGAACTTCTGTGCAAGATCTAAAACTGTGTTTTGGATGAATATTTAGCAGTATAAGCCAACTCTACTTAATTTTTCTATCCCTAAATTGAATTAATGCTTATTTTCTGGGATTGCTAAAATTAATGGAAAAGGGAGACAGTATTGCAATAGCCAGTTGCTAGAGAAACTCATTAAGGTATATATGTGTAAACTTAATTTTTGAAATCCCAATGTCCAAGAATTTAATGGCACATTTGCAACTGGGTTTCAGTGGACTGGACACTCACAAAGGAGTTTTCATAATGGGAAATGGAAAAGAAATGACTAAAGATAGAAGCTATTCCTGGAGTGTTGTTTGATAAATGAAATGAAGAAAGTAGTAAATGTGAGCAGTGTAACCACACAAAGAAAATCACAGAACATTCTGAGTTGGAAGGAACCCACAAGGATGACTGAGTGAATGGACTGTAGTGAATGGACTGTACGGGGATCGTGACCTTAGTACCATGCTCTAACCAACTGAGCTAATCACTTTCTGATTAATTTGATCAGCTTGGAACGGATTTATCAGCCGAAATTAATACAGCCTTTCTATGCAGCCACATTGTGTGTATTCTCGCTCTGGAGACACGAAAAGAGGGCGCCGCTGGCCTGCAAAGTTTCGCTGGCAGTACGATGAAGGAACAGCTGGCGGTCGCCACAGCAGACACGGGCAATTCCAGAGAAAGCTGGCAGGGAAACCAGCCCCATCCCAGCGGCGCCTCTGCCGGGCCCGCGATCCAGGACCGGCCCCTCAGCCTTCCCGCCCCATCCTCCTCCGCCCCGGGGCTCTCCCGTGCCCGCCGCGGCCGCGCGGTACCTGCGCCGTCCCCCGCGCACCGCGGGCCGGGCCGGGCGGTGTCGGTGAACACGGCGCGGCTGAAGGAGCCGAGCCCCCGCCTCAGGGGCCCGGGCAGCGCCATGATGGCGAGGCCGCGGAGCGCAGGCCCGGGAGCTCTCCCGGATTTGGGGCGGGGAGCGGAGCGGGAATTTTCCAAGAGTTGAGGCGGGGACAGCGGTGCCTCCGCCCCGGACACGGTGCTGTGGAGCGCACCCAGGGAGCGGTGGGCGCCCAGCCCGGAGTGCTGGGGCCGCCCCCAGCAGTGTCCCTGTGCTCGGAGCCGCCAGGTCTGAGCGTCTCCCCTCAGTCCTGACGTTGCTTTTCTTCTTTTCCGATCAGTCAGAGAGAATTCTACCCCCTCACCCCCGCCCCGTAGTCTGCGAGGGCAGGGTATGGGCTTTCTGAAAAGGTAACTGTTGTAGAACTGCTCTGCATCTATCCGGATAAATCTGGGGCAATGATGGTCCTCGATGACGGCTGGAGAGTGAAATAAGGGCGAACATTCTGTGTTGTTACTTGAAGTGAGTGTGGATGACTCGTTTTATGATAGATGCAGGTGTAACTGAACCAGAAAATACCTTTTTCCTCAAAGAAATCCGTGCATATTACTCTGAAGCGAAAAGCTGCGGTGAGATTGACACAGTCATTCTGTCCTAGTCAGCTTTTGTCCCTTACAGGACGTCCTTATGGAGTGACAAGAAGTTAATAATGTAAAACCAACTTATGCTTGTTCTTTTATTCGGAAAATGCAGTCGCCCTAAAAATGGGGTAATCTACTCACCAGACCTTTCGGTCCCCCAAGGGCCTGATTCCTTCTGAGGAGGAAAGGATGCCATTCTTAAGTGTGCAGGATATTTATTTTCTGTGTGACCAAAATGAAAGAGCAGCTTGTGCCTTTTGCTGTGGGAACCAGTAGTATTTGTGATTTTTCTGTACCTAATATGACATAGAATTATAGGATGATTCAGGTTGGAAATGACCTTAAAGACCATAGTGTTCCAAGCCCCCTGCCGTGCACAGGAACATCTTCCACTGGATCAGACTTGTCAACTCACTCCTCCTGCCCCCACCCCTGCCTGGAATCATGTTTAGCTGCTTCCCTGGGTGATCGTTCTGCAGTATGACTTTCCAAACTCAATTATCTCAGACTAAATAATTTAAAGCCTAGTTTATATTTAATTTTATTCTGTCCCACTGGGAGAACTACAGAGAAAGATGGCTAAACAAGCAGGAGTTCTGAGAAATCCATTTGGCTTTTGAGCTGATGAATGGTGTGGTATTGACAACAGATACTTTTCAAAGAACTTCCCCATATGTGGGTATGCCAGCAGGAATCTACATTAAAAAACACAAAAACATTAAAAAGCCAAAAACACAACAACAACAAAAAAACCCCCAACTTCAGAAGAAATTAAGATGAAACAATTTTTAAATAATGGCAGCAGACTGAAAGGGGGAAGGGATTAAACATATGCCAGAATTTCAAGGGATGCTGTGCCCTTTAGGGGCAGGGAGGGCAGTGGGTTTTGCTGTGTGGCTGTTCCTAGAAAATAAAGTTTTAAGCACAGGTGAGGGTTATCCATGTTTTGCAGCTAAGACAGAACAAGAAAAGTTGAGCCCTGTGAAATGCTGTTTGCAGTTTGTCTTGAAACCTACAGAAAAAGGCATGTAATTCAGTGTCCTGGACATAAGCAGGTAGGTAAGTAATCCAATGAAAAATACGCCTTAGAATGTATCAAAACATCAGGTAAAGGAAAAACGGTGGTGTGGCTTTTGTCATGTGAGATGTGTCTGTACAGCAGTGACCACAGCTCAGCAGTGCTACCTTGTTTATGTTTGAGCTAGGTAGCTTAGGTTTGCTGGCAAGACATCTCTACAAGCAAATATTTTAGTAGAAGTAAAAAGAGTGTTTTTCAGCTGTTTTTGACCTGGCTCTGTCTTAAACTATGAGGCTTCCCCCATGATCAGCACAGTGACTGTGCTGCCTGGGCTGATGAGCCTGTTTGTGGAGGGGTAAAGCAATGCCAAGCTGCAGTCAGAGACATACATGTCATAGGCTGTGTCCTGGCCAGGTGTGGACCTCAAAGCTCTGAGCTGTGCAGGCACTGGACTTACGCTGCAGTTTCAATTACAAAAATCTGTGAGTGGATACTTGGTAATTGGTGAACTACCAATAAATAATAGAAGAGTTTAAGGATCACTTTGATAAAACTGTATGAAAACCAGCATTAATCTTAGATGGGTTTCTGAACTTCAGAAAATGCAGTCTGTATCTTCCCAGTTGCTAGTAGGTGCTGGAAGTTTTTTCCTGTCTGGCTCAACAACTGTATGGTGTATGAACTGTTTAGCCAAAACCACCATAGAAGTCTCTGTTATAGATAGTGGCAAGATGATGAATCTGCAAGATTTCCAAAGACATTGCCTGAAATTTTGTTTTACTGTTGTTGCCTTGGACCTGACCCAGTTAACCACGAGCACTGGGAAATGCTCATCCCATACACTCAGCTATTTAGACACAAGAAAGAGGTTTATGTGAATTAGAAGGATGGCAGAGTTTTGATTAAGTCAGATATTTGTGAAAGTCTCAAGTTTTTTTCACAGTGTGAGTTGGTGACCTGTAAAAGTTCAGCCTTTAAGGATTTTCCTTGTAATTACTTTTTCAGAATGAAAGATGGAAGAATTTTCACTTTTCTGGCCTTTTCCTGATGACAGTGGCTTTGACTGGGGGCCCTGATCTCCCGAATACTGATTATCTTACGTTCCTCAGTTCTGAAAACCTTCAAGCACAGAGTCAGGTATCCTGCCAGCAGCTCTGCAGCAGTCAATGCTTTTGCAATACTGGGCTCTGCTCATTTCAAAACTGTGAAGCAATCCAGCTTAGCAGTCAGCAGAGTGTAAAACTGAATAGTAGGTAAGTGAAAGGCTAATGGCATGCAGACACCACAAGAAATGTATGGATTTGCCATATAAACTCAATTTCCAGGCTCAAGGTGTGACTCTGTGATATTTGGCAGCCGTACATTTTCAACAGATGGCCAAGCATCCTTCATGTCCCCACAAAATAAAGTTGTGCATTCTTTTGTTTAATATTTTTGTCCACACAGACGCTTAAAATATTCCTTGAAGATATACTCTTTGGTTTTAGTAATTCTGTTTAGTTTTCTTTAGACTGCAGCATGCTTTTTTTTTTTTTTTTTGGCAATTTAATGAATAGAATTCTTTTGATTTTCTATAGGAAGCATTGGAGAGCACCTACTCCAGTTTCAAGCAGAAGAAAACCTTAAAACTTCAAGGATCAGAATGCTGGGGCATCTCCACTGACAGGTCAGAGCTTTCTGTAACAGAAGGATATAAATCTGTGCCATAAGGAGTGGGAGAAGGAAAAGCACTTAACTGTTATGTGACTGTAGCAGTGATGATGACCATATGTATAGATAGTGTTACATGTCCAGCTTTTGTGAGGAAACTCCATTTGGTCTTTTCCTTTCTTAATGGAAAGGCATTCCATTACTGAATTTGTGTCTCTCCACATATGGATGTTTAAGTAGAAATAACCAGATTTCCAATTCTCTGTGCTTCAAAATAACATAGTGAAATGTGAAACTGGAAGGAGTAGGCTCATAATGGCATAGCATATTAAATGACTGTTTTATTTCTCTCCACACATGCTAGCTATAAATAAAACAAAAGTCTCTGAAAAATCTACCTGAGAGCTTTAAATCAGAGAAATATTGGATCTTTGTGTTATCCCAACTAAGTTGGTAGACACTGGCCTGGCTCCCAGAGCAAAGCTCCTGGGGCTCTCTGGCAACAACACAAAGCCATAAACACCAGATGCAGTATATCTATCGAAATTAAATATCAGCAGGTTTTTTTCAGTTGGCATTTTAGAAATGCAGAGTTCATTTAAATGATACCAGTGGTTTACCTTTGCACCTGAATCACAACTGCTGTATTTCTGAATGTGCTGGTGTGGAATCTTACAAAAGCTGTTTTCCCTGGCATGCCTGTGCTGCTGTCCCTTATGTGTGTGAGCAACAGAAATCACTCTCCTCCTTGCTTGTTCCCTTCTACCTGCCTGCTGTTTTAACAGAAATGCTGTAAAACATGTGAAAAGTGCTGCTGAGCTGAGGTGTGTGCAGGCAAGCAGAGTACAGGCTTTCTTACTCCTCATGTCCTCAGAATGAAGTGACAGATTGGGAGTTTTTAACGAATTATAAATGCCACCAAGACTCTTTCAATATGTGTGATTGAAAGGATCGTGTTATTAGCTGTGTCAGTGTCTGCAGAGTAATTTCACAGCTGTGCTTATGGCTTGTGATATCCCAGGACTGTCTCTTCTCCGTGTCAGTTGTATACAAGTCCCAGATGTTCATTTCACACCTGTGGGCTTTTTGGGTCTGGTAAACAGTTATTGTTGCTGATGAGACTTATTATCATCAAGTACATATCACTGCAGTGCTTCCATGCATTAAATGTATCTTGGCTATTCAAGTCTTAAGCATAAAGATGGTGGGGGCGGGGGGGGAAAGGGCTGTTATTTGCTCCTGTGGATTGAATTTCTTCTTGCTGTAGTTGGCATTTAGTTAGAGCCACTCCCTAGCTTGTTTTGTTTTGTTGATTTGTAGTTTTGTCAAGCATGTTGGGAAAGTCTAAACGCTCGCATGGTCATTATGTTTTACTGTCTGTGTTGCCAAAGTATTCAAGATTTTTGTGGTACATGAGAAGGTTGCTGAAAATGGATGGATTTTGAGCCAGGTTCTCACTTCTGTAAAGATCCTTGATGGGCCCTTGAAGGGCCTGGTTAGTGTAGAGAGAGGCCCCACTTTTCAAAAGATGACTTTGTAATAGCCAGTGAATGTCATGGTTTAACACTGTAAACAGGCTGGGTACCTTTGCTTTTGGTTTTGTCAGCAAAGTGATGTTTTTCATTTGTTTAAAGACCTTGTCACACCTGCAAGTCCTGGCAGGACCTGAGACTTACTCAGACTTAAGACTTTCTCTTTTGGTAAGTGTGCAGTGGTACCATGGTGGGGGCTCTCAGAAATTCTCAGCAAACAGTGTTTTGTGTGGTGTGGGCCTGGAATGGCTGCACTGTTCTTTATGTGCAGAAATATGCACTGAGGATCCTGCTTTGGGTCTGGAGTCACTTTCCAGACCTTGCAGGAAGTGTGTGTGGGAGAATCTTTATGGCAGAGGATCTGGTGGCTTCAGCCTTGGTCTCATCTTTGCACGCTGATCTTTCACGCAGTAATTTTAGCTGTCTAAATATCCAAAGTACAATCCAAACTAGTTAGAGAGGCTTCACCTCTATGATGTTTCCCCCCAGAAGGCTTTTCATGGGAAGGAGTAATGTTCCTGCTGAATGTGTCTGATGGACACTGATTACTGGTGGAGTCTCGTTGTTCTGCTAAATCAAGGTGCACAGATGTTTGAAAACTTGACACTTGACAGAGATCTAAGCTCTCCCAGAGGTTGTTTTGTGGATCTGAACTCCTCCAGGTGATAGGGCTGTTTGTGTTCCCTGGATATCACACCAGATACTTTACCTGCAGTCTGTATAACCCTTGCAAAGGGCTTCCTGAGATGTGGAGTCTGGCAGTTCCAGTGCTTTCTCTTTTTATTGCAGAATCCAAAGATGGCACAGTATTTCAAAATTCATCTCTAAGGTGACGTGTCAGCGGGATCATAAACCCAGGCAAAGGCAGGATGTATTTTGCTATTACATACTGATGACAGGACCCTGTAAGAGCTGTTTTGTGTATCCTTTGCAATTAGCTCAAGCCCAAACCCCGAGTGAGTGATGGAGGAAAACACTAGGAATTTGACCCTTTAGGAAAAAAAGCCACAAGGCAGAGAGGACTGTTATTTATTGAAGAAACTGATCTCAGGATTAAAGTTTTTAGTTTTAGTTTTTAAATTCCTGTTTGGACGGTTGCGTAAGTGCCTAATTTCAAAAGTGTGAGTGTGTGACAACTTCTGTGGAACTTAAATGGGAGTGGCAGCAGCGCCTTAAATTGGGCGTAGGATATTTGGATTCTTTGATATGCATTTGAGTGTCTAAATTTGGATTTCTATGTAAGAACAACCTCTCCCTCTGCTTTGAAGTTTTGCTGAATGTAAAGGTAAATGTGAATGTAAAGGTGTGTTCTCGGGTCAGCATCACCGTGTTTGCTTTGCCCGTTCTTCAGGTCCAGGCCAACACTTCATCCCTGTGAGAGTAGAGAATTGTGAGAATGACTGGAAATCCCACAAGTCTCGCTGCCTAAAATTAAGGCATAGCAGCAGAGTTCTGGTTCAGGACCTTTAGCTTCTGACATCATGAGTTATGCTTTTGGGGATGTTAGTGCAATACCACTGCAACCCACAATATCTCTCTGTTGGGATGTGGATTTGGCTCTGTATTTATTTTTATTCCATAATCTGTTTTGCCACGTTTCCAGACAAAGCAAACTTCACTCAAGTTCTCCTCAAGTAGTAAGAAGAAAGAGTGTAGTGACTCCCTGAAGTTCCAAAGAGTGCTTAATTCTTTTTTTATTATGTTTTCAGTTGTTTAAGGCAGGGCCTTCTTATTTGTGGGTACATGTTGCTTGCTCCTGCCATTGTACCTTAGTCTCAGCTCTGATACTAGTTACTGTTGTAGTATGAATGATCATTTTGAACTCCCCAGTCTGCTGTCTTTGAAATGTAAAATTTCTATTTGCCATTTGAAGATAGGGTTTCTTGTGTAATCAGAATCTATAAAGTGGTGCTTAAGACTGGAGAAAGTCCAAGGGGATTCTTACTATAATGATGTTCTTAAAATCAAGGAATTCCTTTCCTGCTTGCTGCATTGTTTTCATTCATAGTGGAGGAGACCAGATTGAAGGATCAAATCCAGCTTGCTTGCTTGTCCTCTCTCTCCCTGAAATGCTTTATTACAGGACTCAATTAAGAGCCAATTTTCCCCTCAGACTCTGTCTATGAGGTCACGCCTGCCCTTAGGAAATATTGAATTTGCAGCCGCAGGATTTATTACAACAGTATTTTAAAACACACAATGCTGGTGCAGCAGCTCTAATTAGAAATGCCCTGAGTTTACTGTGCAGGCAAAGCATTGTTTCTAAACTGCAGCATTGACATCAAGAGGCAAATATGGATTGTGTTTTTACATGTTTGAAGGACAAACAGATGTACCCGTGGGAACATCTGTGCTGCTGCACTGTGCTTTCTTCCTTCTTTAATTTGAATTAGCTCAACTTGGGTCAGGTTTTTGCCTCTGTAGCATTACTGAGTTGCAGCAGTTTAGTGGAGAGGGAAGACCTGTGCTGAGGTGCTGCAGCTTTGTGTTACAGAGTGACAAATTATGTACTTTGCCATAATAGTCAGTAAGAAATAATTAAAACAGAAGGTGGACCAATTTCTACATTTTCGCAGAATATTCTGAGTTGGAAGGGACCCACAAAGATCATCAAGTCCAGCTTGTGACTAGATGATTTCTATTAATCTAGTTGGTTTTGGTTTTAAAAATTCATGAGTATCCACTAGGTTTAGTCTGATGTTACCTGCCTCATCTGTGACTTCCCTAAAGTCCTCCATTCAGCCTGCCTTGGGGAAAACCTCTCCTGGTGCTCTGCTGTGTCATTTTGAAATGCAGGCCTAATATCTAGCCTAAGCCAGTTTTTTCAGTTATTCCTTTACTTCTTATCCTGCCCACTCTGCACATGCAGCTACTTAACTGCTGTTTTCTCCGGCAGCTCCCTTTTATTCTGTATTCTGTGTTCCCTTATGTGCTCTTCTGTAAGTAAAACAAATCCAGCTGAAGTGGTCCATGCCTGTTTATGCTAGATATTTATCACAGAAAGTCTCCCCTGCTTTCCTTGACAGGAAATCTAACAGGCAGAGATGGGAAAAAAATTAGGAGATGAATACACGAGAAGAGTTCTGCTGTATGCTGCAAATTTCCCACTGTGGTACCAGACAGCCCTTGTTGATCATGCCTGAAGAACATATTCTTTCCCTGAATATGAAACATGGCAACCCACTGTACTAGGGCTCAGGATTGATATTGCTGTCCTGCAGGGATAATTGGGAATTTACCAAACCAGAGCAACAGATGCCTTGAGAGACGCAAGTATGATTAACTTCATAAATACGTATTATGAAATCATGGGCAGCGTTCTAACTGTAATGCATTTTCCCTGAGGGAAAATATGCCTGAGTAAAGAAATCAGAAAGCACTTGATGCCAAATGCAGAATGAAAAGAAATTCCTATAAGGCTGGAGTCTATCCACATATTTTTCCTAGTGGTCTTTTCCTTTGGAGAATTAGATGAGGAGTTATTTCTCTTCATTATATTGTCCTCTAATCTCCAAAATCTACATCACTTTGCTAAAACACACTGACATGTATCACATGCATATATAACATTCCCTAGGAGACTTGTTACTGCTTTATAGTCACTGCAGGTGAATTTGTTTGTAAGAAGGCAAACACCTATTTGAGACAGCATGAATGTAAGTCAGTATTTGCTTCAGTGCTGAAGGAGGATTTCTGAGCTTTTTATAGTATAAAGGAGATGATTTTTTTTTTCTACAAAGCTGTGAGACCAAGGAACCCTGGAGGTGGATTCAAGCAGTCCTCATAAAGAGGACTGTTTCTAGTAAGGTTTCACTTGTCAGACATGGAGGGCCTTTAACGTCACATCTGGGTTAGCTGCTTGAGTCTGCAAGTTAGTCTTAAAGCTGTTGGCACTTCCCATGTGACATTCAGCTTTGCCTCAAGGAATCCTAATTTAAGAGGCACTGAAAAAACTTGCTGGAGGGTCCCTTCTTGTCAGTCTGTCCTGGCAGAAGGTGATGTGTTGAGTTATTCCTGAATCCTGCTGACCCTTGCTTGCAGGAGCATCTGTTGGCAGCAGATATCATGTAGAAGATCTCACGGATTTCCCTGGCCTGCGTGGGCATCGGAGCCTGGGATCTGGCAGCCATAGGTTAGAGGTACACAGAGCTGCCTAAAAACTGCCTTGTGCCCAGGGAGAGAGTATGCTGGCCTCAGAGCCTGGACTGACAGCACTTTATTCCAGCCATTGTGTCCCAAAATCTCAGTCTGGCAAAGGTGGAGTCAATCGAAAAAAAAAACCCTGTCCTTCTGTTATTTCCATTCTGATCTCAGTATTCATTTACTATGCAACAGTGAACTTCTACTGGTAAATATCTTGGAAAACTTTTTTTTCTGTGTGCCTTTCAAAGCAGAGAGAAGGACAAGTGCCAAGTTAAACTGAGCTTCAGAAAGCCACATTGCTTGGGAGAAAAAGCTCATCAGCTACAGTATTCAGTACGATGGGTAAAAATCTTGAGGCTGGATTGTTTTCTCTAAGAGTAGACAACTAGTGTAGCCCTATTTTCAGTCCTGTGTGCAGTCAGGGTCCTGACAGCACTGGGCACTCAGCTGCAGTGGATTAAAGATATGGTTTGGGTTCTTTTAGGTTAGTAAGGGCTTTAACCTTTCACATGAAACAAGCCATGTAACTTCACTAGGCACTCCTGCAGTGAACTTTATAACACCTAATGGAATGAGAGCTTGTTTCTTGTCCAGTCTTGATTTAACTGGGTCCAGCATGTGCTTAAGAGCTTTGCTGAGTTTAGGCTGAGAAATACTTTTCATGTAGGAGTACTGCAGAAAGAATAATGATCACAAGAGTCTGGGTGGCAGCAAAGGCTTCACCTTGCTCCCTTTGAGCCTCAACTTGTCTCACTTTGACATTAATGAAATGTCACGATGTAGACTTCAGTTGAAGTAGCATTTTTCATCAAATTTCTTTACTTGGGTTTTGTCCCCCACCCTTGTTCCTTTTTACCTATGTGTAGAGTCTTTCTGGTCTTGGACACTTCAGAGAAATTGTAATTTAAAAATCCTTTTTAACTACACCTGAATTTCCAGTCAGAACTTTCATCCAATTTAAGTACTATTTGATTTGTAAGTGTTGGCTGATATTTGGTCTGATTAATTTCATGCACTGGTTTCTGGAAACTGCAATACTCCATTGCACAGGCAAATATTGGCCTATCATATGGAAAATGGCAAGTGATCCAGATGCTTTGGAGCTCCCAAGTAGAGATGCATTAAAAAGAGCTGGCTTTTCAGGGCACCTCCACCTTCTGAAATGTCTCTGCAGCTATTAAATTAGTAGAAATACAGTTTCTCAAATAGTATGTAGAGTTGAGAGTTCCTGACATATTAGAATGTCTCTAAAACTCAAGATTGATACATATATAACATCCGTAAGAAATCTATGTCTTGTCTTTTTTTCCAGGTATCTTTCAGGAGGTACCTTATCATGTATCTGTCATAAAGCCAAAGTAGGAGCAACTGTTCATTCTAAGGTAAATTTCTGATCCTGCTGAGAGCAAGAGAAGTTTGGTTGGTGGGAGCCAGGTATTTGGCTAGTTTCTTTCAACTGTTATCTGCAACATGCTTCTCAGTTTGTTTCTTGAGTATATTGCTGAGCTTCCTCAGTAAGAGATTGTAATTTATACAACTGGAGCTGGAATGGGCCTTTGGTCACCAGTTTTGGTTACCATTTCTGTCTATTCTTCATCACTTCAGACACTAATAGTCAGTGTATACTCAGTGGATCCAAAGGGTGTTCACTCTTGTTGTAGTGATATAGTTTAGTGGTTAGTGTGCAGGACAAGAAGAATACTGACTTACACACACAGGATTGTTTTGTGATTAGCATTTTGTGTGGTAAAGAGGGGATGAGTTGAAAACCTCATCCTGAAATATAAGTGTATATACAGTGTCTAGGTGGCTCTTCAACTCAGTCCAATAAAACAGAGTTTATCTCCTGTCTGATAATTTTAGCAGAAATTATTCAAGAATATTGTTTGTTTTATGCAGCCCTGCAACTCTCCACTCTTACCACTCTAGGAACTGGATATAGATGTAGGCTTGTTGATTTGTGCAGCTGAATATTTCATTGTCAGAGTTCAAAGACTCTTACAGAGTGCTCTGGCCAGTATCAAAACTGGATTCCTCCACTAAAAATTCAGAGTAACTTCACTGATTAAAAATAAAATTGCAGCTGCATTTGGCCTGAGGGGTTTTCATTTCGAACTACATGACTTTTCTCAGTTGGGCATTTTAGAACTGTAAGGCTCATCCCACAATGATCTTGGCCTTCTAAAGGGTGGATATAATTTGGGTCCCTCTGCAGTAATAGCTGTTTGAAGATGAATTCAGTGTTCTTGTGAGGAGTCCAGTTACTTTGCTGGTTAATGCATTTGGAAAGCTGCTGTCAGTCTAACTGATTCAATTCCACAGCGTTTCTTGATTTTTTTTTTTCCCAGTGCTGGTCCAACTATTTTATTCCTGCATATTGTGTAGTATCTCAGCATAGACAGCATCCTCCATAATAGCTATTTTTTCCCTGCCTTTTTCTAACCCCAGTCATACTCCAGTGTGAATACTGATTGCAAAGACATTGTTTGGCTTGGTTTTAACCTCCCTATTTGATTACTTCCTCTGCTTACTGGGTCCATCAGAGACCTACTGTTTCTCTAGACATCTCTCTCCTGATATACTTCAGGCATTTTTTGTTATTTCTTCTGGCAGTTTATTGTCCTGGGTTTTTTCTTTTTTATATCTTTTTCATTTTTCCTGTCAAAATCCATTCCATGTATTAAAGACAGATGAACTGGATTTACAGAGCCTGAAATACTGTTTTGGCCCTAAAACTCACCCTTTGTCACACCACTGGAAATTACTGCAACTTTTCTGTATCTTTACTTTAAAGATCCCATTGAAGTCAGGCAGGCATGTGTGGCACTTTTCTAGCAGGAGAATATTTATTTAATCCCTGTATAGAGAAGCAGAGAGCGAAATCCTAAATCCATTCAAATCAGTGGGGCTTTTCCTGGGCTCCAGCTGAATCATGGCTTAATGATCAGCTTCATGGTCTGTAGTCAGCCTCCCAGAAAAAGGGAAAAGAAAGCACAAAGCAGGATTTTCACTCTCATATTCTGGGATTACAGGCTGAGCCGAGGGACAGTGTTTTACAGCAAGAGGTGATGGACCTGAAGAACCAAGTTTTCTTCTGGTTCTTTCACCAGTCTCCTAAAGATACTTTAAAATTTATGTTTTAGCATTTGCCTGCTGTAAAGTAAGAAGGTTTCTTGGCAGCACAGTACAGTTTGAATGCATAGTTTTGCTGGTGTATTGCAGTTGTATTCGAGGTTCTGGACATGCATGTCTATCTGGGACATGCAAAGCCCATAAAACAACAAATAAGCTTAAGATGTGTGTTTATTCAGGTGCTTAAATGTGTTGCCTGGATTGGGCCTTAATTTATTCCCTGTGAATTGTGGTGGTTTGTCCCAGTGAAAGTCATCTGGTTTGATGACAAGCCCGGCTTATTCTCCCAGTACTGAAATAAGGTGGGTTAAAGAGGTTTCCCCTATTTCCTGTCCCTCGCTGAAGAGCAGCTTGAACAGTGAAAACTGTCAGGAGTGCTTATTCAAAAGCAGCAACGTTGGAAGCTGAAGATAAGAGCATTTATCTCTGTGTCAAAACTACTCAGTGTCTTTGATGGACTCCCAAGACGCCGTAACAAGGAGCTTAGGCTGGAGACGCTGGAATGCCAGGAGTCCAGGGGGTGGTGTTTATCCTGCTGAAACACGGAATACATCAAATCAATTACACGGTGCTGAAGTATTTCCCCATCACCAGCCAGTGTTGTGAGCTCCAAGAAAATATGTTCTCCTAGGCACTAGGGGAGCCTCCTCCTTGAGATGCTGATTTAATTTGAAATGCGTATTAACAGGGAGAGAGAGAAAAAGAGGGAGAGAAGATGGAATCTCATATGTTTTGCAGCAGATTGCCACATTGATCTTGTCACTTGGCAAACACAGTTGGACCTGAGGCTCTCAGTCTGTGGGATGTGCTGTATTTCTGTCATCGATTGTCAGCCTCAGAGAAGCACAGGAGAAAGAGAGGCATGGTATCAGAATAGAGAATCTATAATAAATGGACCAGCAAGCCATTTAGGAGCGAATCAAAGCAATTGCATTTTTGGATTGTGCTTGCCTTCATCAGCTAGAAATGTGGTCTGTCCTCAGCTCTCCCAGTGAAGCGATGATGGGAAGGACTAGTATTTCTATGGAGGCTGCTGCTGTCTGTGCTGTTTTGTGGGAGTTAAGCTGTTCTACATGGGAAATGGTACCTGCAGGTCCCAGAGGAGCCTTCAGCCTGCCCTGTGCCCACCCTGGTCCCACTGGTGCTGTAGCCACAGGCCTCTCTTGAGCCATCTCTGGGACAGCTCCTCCATGTGGATTTCTCCTCTGAGCTTGCATCTGAAACCCACAGCCCATTGCTGATGGCCAGTTTGGGAGCTGACAGGATCGCACTTAGGTTCTGCAGGGACTTAGTCCTGGATCAGAAACTTCCCTGAAATAGTTCTGTCCACCAGGAATGTGGCTTAAAACCTGGTTTTGTTTAAAGGACTGCCCTGGAGGCATTGCAGTGCTGGTGGGGCCCACAACCAGACAGCTGGAACAGCATCCCCCAGAACGTTCAGTCCAACAGATACACTGGCAAATTGGTCCAAATGAACAGCATCCCTCTGCCTGGATGTTTGTACCATCCTCTCTGGGATGATGTCAGTGCCTTGGGATGTGTTTCTCCCGAGCAGAGCAAAAACACTAGAGAGCGCCATGTGTTTGCAGATTTTGGCTTGTGAAGTGCAGTCTGAGGATGTGAGTGCTCCCTGAGGGGGGGGAATGTAGGGAGAGCCGTGCTCAGGACCCAGCCTGGGCTCACTGCTCCGGAAGACTTGGGTATGAAGAGGCGATTTCCCTCTGGATATGGGCAGCTGCAGGTGCAGTGTAGCTTTGTACTTTGTCTCTAGGGGAGAAAAGGCAGTTTGGCTGTTGGGAGGAAATCCCCTTGGTCTCATTGCTAGTAGAGGAGATGCATTTGAACCAGCAGACCTTCCCAGCCTTCTGTTCCAACCCTCTGTCACATCACTTTGAACATAGCAACCAAGAGAGGGGCCTGTCCAGCGACCTCCCATCCGAAGGAAATTCTCAGGACAGACCAGGATTAAATGTCTCAGGAGGTGCCAGTGAGGAGCTTCTTAGAAGGATTGACTTTGTTTTGGAGCTCACGCTTTCTAGTCCTCCTGAAGAAAACTTTTGATTTTCAAGTACTTCAATACATAAACAATGTTGAATATCTTAGTGGATTTGAATGGCTGAGTCATTTCTTTGAAAGCAGGCTGGATCAGATTATTTTGCTGTCTCTTATTCCCAGTGATGCAAAAGGCATAGACTCCGTGTGGGCTTCATGTGGGCGCTACCCTCTTCTTCCTTGTGGGAGGGTGAGAAGCTCATGACCCTTTCAGCAGTACTGGAGAATAACTGTCTTGGCTGTTACAATATGCACTGTCCTGTATCTTCTCCCATTGTCCAAGGCCTCCAGAAGCTCCCCTCTACCCTAACTTGGTGAGGAAGCAGTCTACCTGGCATCATGCTCCTCTTAATCACTGATCATGTGATGGTGATGACTAAACTTTCATTGTAATGAGCTGGCTTTTTTTCCTCCCCAGTGAAATATTTCCTACAGAAAAATGAGGCTTCATGGAAACCTGACTTATCTTTCAGAAGATGCCCATCTCCATGTATGCAGAAGTATTTTTTCAAAGAAAAACTTAAGAGTTATTTTTTAAGGAAGGTAATATGTAGATATTTCAGAATTTTAAGTTGGCTGTTTTTCTTCTCCTTTTCTTGTGCTACTTAGTCTAAGAGGCTCAACAAATTCTAGCTGTTATTTTTCCTATCTCATATTTTTTATTGTTTTGTGGATGTTTTTCTCTCTTGACATTTCTGAAAACATTTCGCATTGGGAAAGCTCAGACACAGTGAAAAAAAAAAGGTAGAAAAGGAAAAAAGGTGGTAGTGAAAAGATGTTTTGGAGGAAATGTTATTATTGCAGTTGCCAGCAGGAGGAAAAAGGAGAGGGAATACATTCCCCCCCCAACCAAAATTATTAATGATGTAGATGTTTAGACATTTAATTGAGGACAAAATTGAGTTTTGGCACGTCTGAATGGATACAATTTATCCTGTCCTGTTTTGACCTTCCTCAGTTCTCCCTGGCATTACTACTGGTCCTCTTTGCCCTTTAGGCTGTGTCAGAAGCATCTGGAAACAGCAGATAAGACAGAGCCATGGGGCAGAGCTGGACCTTGAGTGCAGTGCTGGAGGGCAGGAGGCATCTGTGTGCTTTGGGGGAACTCTGTGGACATGAAAAGCTGCTGTGTCCTGAGCAGAGCATCTATCCAGGGAGAAGCCATCCAAGGGGGAGCTTGCCACCCCTGTGCTTTGGG